CACCAAACAAATAAAGTCAAATTACTCCAATATTCCCCCTGTCCTCTAACCTAAGATGCTGGACACAGGGGAAGGTAGATTTGGAATATATCACAAATTAATTAAATTGTTAGCACATAATGCATTTGTATACTGCATCAGTCACAGGTCTTTTTATTTATAGTACTTTAGATATTAATTCAGATCTAATGAGTGCACTCCCTTCCTCTCTCTCTCTCTCACACACACACAGTTTTAAAAAGCAGAGAGCTGTGCTTTTATTATATGTGCCCAGGATGTTGGCTGGTTCACTTGCCTATAGCATTAGTCACGGTGTGCATAAAAGCACGGTCTCTCTTAGATGTGGTCTGAGATGATGACCCAGTGTTTTCCCACCATGACCACCACCATGGGGAGAATGGACCGTCTCCCCTCTCTTTCCTCAAATGATGCCCTTAAAGCAGGTATTTTCCAACCTTGGGCCTCCAGGTGTTCTTGGACTACAACTCCCAGAAGCCTTCGCCACCATCTCTGCTGACCAGGATTTCTGGGAGTTGAAGTCCAAGAACATCTGGAGGCCCAAGGTTGGGGGCCACTGCCTTAAAGGATGCAACAGTTCCCTCCTCGGCCTTTGATTCCCCCCCCCGCACACACACACACCATCAACCTATGCAAGCGTTGTTGTTTTAAACCCTAACATCACACTTCACAGTCTTGCTTCTCAAAAAGGTCAAGGGCAAAAACAGTGCTTGCTCTTGCAGGGTTAAGAACGTCCAGAAGCCGACAGGGAGCCATTTCACCAGCACTTCCCTCCTGCAGAAAAGTTACTTCTTAGTCTGACTCGGGTCAAGGGGGTCGATGCCGCTTGTCCTTCGCAGCCCACTTTCCAGAAGGCTTTGCGAAGCCATGGATAAAAAGGAGCCCCTTTCAGGAAACCCTTTTATCCTTTCCCCGTTTACAGCGGGGGAACCTCGGCTGGCCTTAGGGAGACCCGTTCATGCTCAGCTCTGGCAAGACGTTGCGGGATTAGCACAAGAAAGGTGATCCACATAGAGGGCACGTCAACACCATCAGGGCTCCTGCAAGAGGCCGAAGGCTTTCGCCTCTCTTTGCACGAGGATTCCTCACATCCGTAAGTTGTACATTCGCTTGCTTTGGCTGTTCACGGGGCTTCAGACACCACGGCGCAGGGCAGAAGAGAGGAAGACACTCCTCTCTCCATGAGCTTTGGTCCCTGATCCCATTGGCGTTTGTTTGGGCCTGGGTTAAAAATAAAGTCCAGATTTGAAACGTGGCCTTGCAGTGAACCCCAAGCATGATCTCTCTCCCCTCCCAAAAGACATCGTCTTCCAACTTGTTTTCCCCAACCCGGCTGCTCTCCTCCCTCAAGTGACAGCTTGGCGGGCGAGTTCCCCTCCCCGGTTGCGTCAAGCCGGTTTCCCTGCCCCTGGCTCTTCTCCCGAACCCCTCCCGTTTTTCCAGGCCAAGTTAACTTCCAAGCAAAACAAAAATCTATTCCAGGCCGAATTTCTTCCATTCGCTTTACATTCCTGCAAAGGCAGGCAAACAAGGCACTAAAACCCAGCATTTCCAGCACGATAAATCTTTTTTTTTCCTTTACTGGCCAGCTATCATCTGTCTCAACAAACTAGAACCAAAGGAAACCTATTACAGAGAATGGGTTTTAATGCCGCCTTAGCTTGAACCTGAGAACGGAGCCATCGATCTTTGGACTAGAACGAGGGCAATTGATCGCTTTCTTTTTCTTTACGGTTAAGGTTAGCATCTTTCTCTACTCAAGAGTGAATGCGTGCAAAGCAAAGGTTTCCTCCAAAGTTCAGGAAAAAATCAGGACAAGGCTGTATGCTCCTCAAAACAATACAACTGCAAGTACAGTGGTACCCCGCTTAACGATTACTCTGTACAACGACGAATCCACTTCACAACAATGTTTTTGCGATCGCTTTCGCGATCACAAAATGATGTTTGAATTGGGGTTTTTTTGCTTAGCGACGATCAGTTCCCTGCTTTGGGAACCAATTTTTCGCTTTATGATGATTTTCCAACAGCTGATTGTCAGGTTTCAAAATGGCCGCCACTGTGCAAAATGCCCCCTCCCCCCCGTTTTTAGGACTGATTTTTCACTCTACAGGCACCGGAAAATGGCCGCCCTATGAGTGATCTTCGCTGGATGATTAGGTATTTCACCTATTGGAAGTCATTAACCAGTTTTTAATGTGTTTCAATGGGTTTTTTAAATTTTGTTTGACGATTTCGCTCTACAGCGATTTCGCTGGAATGAATTAACGTCATCAAGCGAGGCACCACTGTAAGATTTTTCCTGTATTCAAGAATTCTGGAAAGGGCTGTTTAGTTCTCAGGTGTTCTAAGGCGTAGAGCATTTATGGCCCTCCAGATATTGTTAGACTCCAACTCCCATCAGGCTGCATAGCTGACGGCAGTGCTTCCCAACCTCGAGTCTCCAGATGTTATTGAACTACAACTCCCAGAAATTCCAGCCAGCGCAGCTAGTGGCGAAGGCTTCTGGGAGATTTAGTCCAGGAACATCTGGGGCCCCAAAGTTGGGAACCACTGGTTGATGGCCATTAAGGTTGCAACCCTACTCTTTCAGAAGATGCTCCGGTCACTCTCCCTGCTTTATAGGTTTCCTCACTGCCTCCTGTTGCGTGCTGCTGCAAAAGGGGACCAAACCAGAAAAGCCAGGGCTCCTCTGCAAAGTGGCCATCACCCGATTTCGCTACACATGTCGGCTGTACCGCTCAACACGTGGAAGGTGTGAAATGACTGCGCCACCTCCTTCTGCCAAGAAACCCAGCCTTTTTGTAAAACTTTGCAACAGGTTAAAATAGCCATCGGTCATGATCTACCTCTGGTTGTAGAAGGGGTAGTAGCCGCATTAGTCTGTGCAAGGATTATAGGTAAAAGTAAAATCAAAATAAAGTTTAAAAAGACAAAAATGTGGCAACACCTTAAAGACTAACTTTGATATTTTTTTTACTGTGAGCTTCCATGGACAAGGCTATTTCATTAGACTGAAGACTCCGTTCCACCCATGCAAGTCAGTCTGTGTCCATGCTTGGGAGAGCTGGCCCTTAAGATTTTGGACTGCCACCCCCGCCCCCAACTCTGAGCCTGGGTCCCAGGCCCTGTCCAGCCAGTTGAATCATTTGGGTGGTGTCCAGATGAGGGCCAGAATAGCTACCCCTCAAACAAGTACTGTTAGGTAGCTCAATGCTTCAGGCAACCCATTGGACCAGTTGCTAAGTGGTGAGCCAACACCTATGTAAATCCCACTGATCCAATGGGTCTACTCTTGTTCAACAATGACTCTACAAATCCCCCAACCTGCAAGTCTCACTTGTTTGCAACCTCGTGTTTGTAAATCCCATTGATCCAATGGGTCTACTCTTGTTCAATGATGACTCCACAAATCCCCCAATCTCCAAGTCTCACTTGTTTGCAACCTCGTGTCCCCCCCCCCAGCAAGAGTGATTGAGGGGCAGGAGTTCTATGACATGTCACATTTTCTCTGCAACCTACATTTGAGCCCATAAGCAAGTTCAAACATGTTTATGAGTAATCTGGCCGTTCTCACCCATCAACCCTCCCAGAAGCTCAAACATAGGTTGCAGAAAAAAATATGACATGTCATAAAAATCCTTCCCCTGGTGATGGCCTTTGTGAGTGCTTAGTAGTTCTCGCTCTCTCTCTCTTTGGGACTACAAGTCCCAGAATCTCCCAACTTGGAAGTCTTGGATCCAGGCCTGAGAACTACCAAGAGTTATTTTGCTCTTGAGTCCTAGTCTCTACATTGCCACCGTACTGCCCCGATTAATCTGGATGGTGTCTCATTTCGGAAACTAAGCAGGCCTAGTCAAAACATGGATCGAAGGCCGCCAGGGAACACCGGACATCTGCAGGAGAAGTTCAGGTCGATTCCTGTCCACCAGCCCTGGAAAGCTACAGCTGCCAGTCAGAGCTGGCAGCGTTGGGCTACGTGGATGAAACCGGAAGAAGTCAAAAGCCAGCTTCCGGGGTTTTTTGCATGCTAGCATTGATCATGTGCAGCTTCTGGACTTCCTGAACCTGCCCATCCCTGCCCTTGGGAGTCCCTGTAGTATCCCTGAGGGGTGTTAAGGCCCACGATCCTACAGAAATCCTTTCTGCCTGGAAGCAGCATTAATAGTACGGACCTTTGGACAGAAAGGGAGGCAGAGAAGGAAGACTGGAAGTTGGCCAGGGGCTGTTTTCTGAGGCAGAATCATAGAACAGTGACGTTGGAAGGGGACCTATAAGCTATCAAGTCCATCACCTTCTTTGGTGAATTGCAATTATCACTCGTGGATTATACTGTGGCATATAACGACCCTGTTGAATTTATATTGACCTCTCACACTTCAGCCACCCTAATAGGTTTATTGATCTAATGCTTCACATTTTCTCCATTTCTTCTTCATTCATTATATCTTCGGTACTGCTAATTTGATGGTATGCTTTTTTTAAAAAAAACATTACCTCTTTCCCTCGTGAAAACAATTAGATCCATGAGAATGTGGACGAACATACAGGAGAATGATCACAGATTCCATGGTGGGGGTCACCACCCCACCTCCAGCTGCTGTGTACATTGCACAGCTACACGCCGAAGCACGTTCCTGGAGCAAACGGTCAATTTCAAAGCCACTCTTTGGCTTTACGACTTGCAACTCTCTGAAATGCAGCCACATCAACAGAACCCCCCATCTGGGAAAACAGCAGTAGCGAAACTCTGTTGCGTTGCTCTGGCAGCACAATGGAAGTAACACCACACTGCCACTAATTAAAGAGTCTCTGCTTTAAAGTTGGGTTGCGCGCAACTACATCCCCTTAGGCACAAGTCACATGCCATCTGAAATCAAAGCAATCACCCTTGAATTAGCTGCAATTTGCCACAAACAGTGACCTCACTCCTGCGAAACAAATACCCGGCCGCTCATAATAATTGCACAGAAGCAAAAAATTTGCTGTGAACTCTTTTTTTTTTACTGTTCCTTTTCCACAACAGAATTCGTATTAAATATTTTAATATATTAATTCCTCTTTCTTTTCTTTCTTTCTCTCTCTTTTTTTTTAATTAAAAAAAAAACCAAACTAATTTTTAAAAAAACATCCAACAGAACAGAGCCGGGAGATCGGACCACAGACTAACGGCAAATTAAAGAAGGTACGCATTCAAATGTAATGAAATAACCTGAGGAGAAGAGGGGAAAACCCAAGCAACCGCGTGTAAAATGCCGTAGAAAACAAGGTCCACTTGAATATCCCACCAGAGGAATACTTTTATATCCTTGGAAGGGAAAAAAAAAACCCAGCCAAGAGGGTTCTTTGGGTATTTTTGGAATGGTTTCTTCCTCCCTCCCGCCCCCTCTTCCAGCTCTGCCTCGCTTAGTTTTTAAGTAAGTGTTCTGGCTTAGGGTAACCGAAAAGGACAAAATCCGCCTCGTACAGCTTGTATAGCTGCCGCCGCCAGGCCACGGGGATTTTGGCAAACCAGTCCTCCTCCCAGCTGCTGGCTGTCCTGTTTCGGTAGCTGGGAGGGAAGCGCAGGAGGTGGTCCACCTTGAGAAGCTGGAGCAGGTGAGCGGCGTCCTCGTCCAGGCTCTCCAGCTTGCCGACAAAGTCGTACTCAATTTGGCACGGATGGCACAGGCGGTACACCTGCCTCCAGTGCTCGTTGAAGGGGGCCAGCTTCTCCGTCCGGGGGTCCAGCAGGTACTGGATGAAATCCGAAAAGGAGACCCGGAGGCCCACCTCGAAGGCCTCGCTCACCGAGGTCGGGATGCTGGAATAGTTGGAGTACAGTTTCAGCATCGGGACGGCGAACCGTCGGTAGAACTCCTCGTTCTCCAGCTCGAATTTGCTGCGGAAGGCCGAGATGAGCCGGACGAAGGGGTCGCGGACGAAGAGGAACTTGGTGTATTTTTTCAACTTGATCTTCATGAGGTGGCGGGAGAACTTGCCGTAGCGACGCCAGAACTTGTTAAAGGTGAAGTGAGTGCTCGTGTTGTGGACGTGCTCCCGGGGTATGGCCATAGGGTCGGCGTAAGGGACTCCCTGGTCCATCAGGCTCTCGCTCAGCACAATCATCACCCTCTTCCAATTGGTGCAGGCCACTTTGGGGACGTAGCAGTAGATGATGCCGTGGCGGTCGTCCACAATGAGGTGGTTCAACTCGTAGTTGGGGATGTCATCGAACGACCGCTCCTTGGTCGGGAAGGTGAAGTTGGAACTGGCGCAGAATTCCCTCAGCGTCCTCCGCCTTTCCGCCTGCAGCGTCTCTTGGTCCAGGACGGCGCCGGTGTCGCGAGTGGACCAGTCGTAGCCTCTGACGTTCTCCTCCAGGTTGTGGGAGAGGGGCCTGCTCGAAGCGCGCAGAGGTGGCGGCGGCTCCGTTTTCCGAGCAAGATCGAGGCCGTGCCGAGAGCTGAGGAGCTTTTCCACGAAATCGTCCACGTCAGATAAGAAGCCTTGGCCGCCCTCCTTCGTGACGGTAGGGAGCGCCCCGCGAGGCCTGGAGAGGGTCGTGTGGAGGTAGAAGTGTGCGGTCCCGACGTTGTCCCAATACACAATGATCAACAGGATCATGAAGAGGGAACCCACCACGACCGACAGGCGGAAGAGTCTGGCTTTGGTCATCCTGGCCAGCAAAGCCATACGCGATCCGGTCCTGAGCTCACCTCCAGTTGAAATGGAAACATCTGAAGCCCAGCATGGCATGGGGTGGAGGGTCAGGAGCCTGCAAGGAAAGGAAACAGGGCGGGAAATTAAAACTACTTATCCCCCCAGAAAACCACTAGGAAGTGAGAATAAATGCAGGATTAAAACGGCAGCACCCCCCAACTGAAAGCAAGTCAAAAAAATATATATGGTAGAATGGAAAGTGGGACCCAGTGGTTAAGGGTTGGCCTGCCAGGTGGGAAACCCCTAGTGAACTAGGAAACGCTAGTTGGGCCAGTCCCTCTCTCTCTTTAGCTTTGCTTGTCCTACCTCGTAGGGTTGTCGTGAAGATAACATGGAGAAGAACAGAAGGTGAAACATCATGATATGATTTTGAGGGAGTTGTAGAGCAGGACCTTCCACTGCCCATGTGCACAGTGGGACTACCTCTCCCACCAATATGACCCAAGAATAAAAATATCTTTGTTTTATGGGAGTTATTCCTCCTCCCATTCTTCCCAGTCAATTCTGCTGGGGACCACCCACGTTGGAAATCAAATGGCGGGGAAGTGATTCTTGCAACCTGACCAAGGCCTGTTCGCATTCCTAGGCGAGGGCCTTGTGAGGCCATCGGGTCGGTGCGTCTGGCCTTCAACCGATGCCCATGTCCATCAGGGGCATGAGTATAACGAAAGGGCCAAACCTCTGTTTGGGCACCGCAGCAAGTGTACCATTTTACAGAAAACACAGGAGACCTTTTTTCAAAGCAACAACAACAAAATAAAAACAAAAAAAAATACCACAAGAATTTACAACAGGTGCCTGCTACCGCTCTCAGCCCCGGACGGCCGATGTAGCTTCATGCCTTGGCCCCTGAACAGTCCAGTTGCAGCCAAAACAGAAGGGAGGTATGACCTTTGGGAGCAAGGTTCACTTCCCATGCCCTGTCACATTTTTTGGCAGCGGAGGCACCTTTTTATCTTATCTCTCTTCCCGTGCTCCTCGTTCGGCGCACCTTTCCTGGATGCTTCACACATCGTACTTTGCTTTCTGATTCTTAATAACACCGTTAAGGACTGCTTTCCGACTAGTTAAGGACTACCAGCTAAGATTTCGCATGACAGCACTTGATCTAACAAACGGCAAGGCCTTTTCCACATTGGAAGGTTTCAGGGAAGTTCATTTGGGGAAGCCGAGAGCCATAAGCCGTTTGAACCACAACCGCCAGAGCACGAGGCACATTGTTCTCCAGAGGAACTCCAGAGGAACTCCGATGACGGGTGCCTTTAAAAACCCGTCCACACAAAACACATCTCTATTCTTTTAGCNNNAGAGAAAAGGAGCCCGGGGGGGGGGGGGATTTTCATCGTGTGTGTGCTTAGATCAGCTCAACAGGAAAGCAAGCCAAAAACACAACTCAATAGTAAGGTTTACATTCCGAAAGGCACAAACTTTGAGTCTGCAATTAACACATTTCTAGGAAGTAAAGTTACTGACAACAGCATTGCTAATCTCCTTCTGGACCTCTTATGCCTGGGATGTGCTCCATCCCACTGAGCAACTGCTATGAAGCAGCAGCGGCTCTGAAGGGTCGGATATTTGTAGCCTATTTCTACCACGCCAAGGCCACTCCGGCTATTTATGCAACGTCCCCCCCATGAGAAAACGCAGGACAACCCCCCAAAACAGAGAATGATGTCCCCACCGAACTGAGCAAAAACAGGACATATCATTTCTTCCCCCCCAAAACAGAGAATGACGTCCCCACCGAACTGAGCAAATACAGGACATATTTGGCCCCCCTCCCTCTATCATTTCTGTCCAGCGGAAAGGCAAGAGGTCCATTTCAAGAGGCTGCTTTGAATCCGGGCCTCTGATGTAACCGTCGCAGGGTTTTAAAACGGAGCCAACCGCAGGAGGGGCAAGGTCTCTGGAATAAACAACCGCCTCCCCGAAGCCTGGAGGTTCTCCTGTGCCACCGAAAATGACTCAGACGAGGCTGTTACGAAAACAACGCCCCTCGCAAGGAGGAGACCGCAGTTATGAAAAGAACTTTTCCACCGGTTCACGACTTCTCTCCCTCCCCCCCCCCCTTGGCAGCCTGTCCGCCTCCGACACCCGCTTCCCCCTAGGAAGGAAGCAGGACATGTGAGCATCAGCTGGTCCCAAACGGGCGAGGCCAAAAACGAAAATGTCATTTCAGAGGCCACACATGGCCGAGTCAAAATAATAACCAGGGATTATTATTCTGAAATGTTTCCCTTTGCAGGATCTGCCTGTACGGTTACCTGTTTTTCCCTCGTACAGAGCCTAGTGCCACCTTTGCTGTGTCGTACAGCATACCCTGGCGCCCACTTTGGAGATGGCTCATCTCCAAGCTTTATTCCCACTGTGGCAATAAGTGTGTGTGTGTTGGGGGGGTTAGGCCAGCCTATCACACATTTCTGGGTTGGGGACTATAACTCACGCAGTCCTCCAGCCAGTTGGAAATAAAGGTGTAGAGGAGGGGGGGTGAAAAGAACAGAGACTACGTCATGGAAGAGATTCGCAGAAGTGCCCACGTTGGAGAGCAACCCAACCCCACCTACCAGCTGCTGATGAACAAGGCATGAGAAAGGGGTGACGGGTTCTAGGTCTCTGTGGGCATCACGGGAGCAGGGATACTTAGGCAGACAGATGCCTTGGAATGACCCAAATACGAGCTCCTCTTATCTTACCGATGGCAGTCTTTACTGCCACCCAGACTGGTCAGTGGATCCTGCTTCTCTTGACACCGTTTGCTGTTCGATCATTAATCGTCATCTCAGGACGCCAGAGCTGGAAGGGACCCTCTGCATCATCCAGTCTAGCCCCTTGTCAAGGCGGCACCGTGGGGGATACGAACTCCCCATCGCTGGCTCCGCAGCCCAGCCGGAGACCTCAGCTACAGAGCTATCCAATGACTACAGGCCATTCAAATCAATTCTGAGTTACATCAATCCTTCCAAGTACCTAGAGAGTACTCGGAAGTGGTTTACCCCTCCCTTCTTCTTCTGGGGGAACCCTGGGATCGGGCGGCTGGTCCAAGGCTAACCAGGGTGGCTCTTCTCCCAACCTCTGGCACAACAGGCAGCCGTTGGTAAACGACAACCACGGATGACTCAAAACTGGAACCTTTCCTCCAATGAGTTCAAGGCGCTGCACATCATCTTCTCTCCCAAATCCAGATCTCTTAGGTCTTGCACCCAAACTGTTATGTTTCACTGGTAATCCAGCGTGATGGAGGGAAGAAGATTTCCAGATGTCCATATCCACCCGTTCCGCTGAACGGCTGAAAATGCACTGACTCCGCGCAGGGCAAAAGTAACAGTACAGGAAGAGTTTGTGGGTGGAATTGTGAACTTTAGGGTTTGTTACTTTTTGCACTGAACGGGAGAACAAGCCACCAGAGGCATCGGATGGATATTGTTTTAAAGGAAGCATGTTCAATATTTTAACATGACCTTTAAAACATTATGCTTTCGAGAGCAGACACATTCCTCTGATTTACTCTGAAAGCAGTGATCTGAAGGTTAACCCGTAAAAAATTAACGTACTATTTCCACGCTCATAGGTGCCGGATGGAACTAGGACGGCAATGTGTTTTGAGGCTTTGTCTCCACATGTAAGAGAAATTCGTCACTAATCCCAGGAACAAAATATGTAAACAGAGACAGCGGAGCAGGGGAACATTTTGGCAACGGGACTAGCCACAAAAACCACATCCAGCCGCTGGAAGAAAGCATTGCTGACCGTATTTGTCAGCTTGTTGCTTTAGAACGAACAGGACAAACCCTTTTGTGTTTCACTCACCAAAGCCCTGGAGGTGTGTTGTTACCTCGTACACAGGACATTTCAAAGCAGAAGGAAATGTTGGCACAGGACACACCCACAAGAACTACAGCAACCGTCCAGATGTTTTGCACTGAACTCCCTGCATGGCTAATAGCCAGAATTAGAAAAGCCCTAATCTGAAATTGTCAGCCGTGTATCAAGTTATCAAGATTCCCAGTGTGGTGGTGCAGTGGATAGAAGGGTAGTGGGTCAGGACTCAGGAGACCTGATTTCGAATCTGTGTATCAAGTTATCAAGATTCCCAGTGTGTTGCAGTGGATAGAAGGGTGGTGGATCAGGACTCAGGAGAGCTGGTTTCAAATCCCTGCTCAGCCATGGAAACTCGTTGGTAAAACCATTCCTTAACTACAGTGGTGCCTCACTTAAGGACGATAATCTGTTCCAGGAAAATCGCTGTTAATTGAAAACATTGTAAAGCGAAATTAAAAAACCCATTGAAACACATTGAAAACCGTTCAATGCGTTCCAATGGGCTAAAAACTCACCATCCAGCGATCCTCCATACGGCAGCCATTTTTGGTGCCTATATAGCAAGGAATCCGTCCCTAAGCACAGTGGGGACCCATTTTAAGCACCCGGTGGTCATTCTGAAAACCCAACGATCAGCTGTTTTTGATCGTCCTAAAGCAAAAATTGGTTTCTGAAGCAGGGAACTGATCATCGCTAAGCGAAATTCCACCAATTAGACCATTGTTTTGCAATCGCAATTGCGATCACAAAAACATCGCTGTAAAGCGGATTCGTCGTAATGTGGGGCAATCGTTAAGTGGGGCACGACTGTATCTCATTTAACTTGGAAGCTCTATTAGGGTTGCTATAAGGCAGTTGCAACCTGATAGCACACGACACACACAAGAGAGTGTGAAGTTACCAGGTGGCTAGATAGTTCAGGGGGTTATAGGTTGGGAGCTCAATTCCCCGTAGTGCCTCCCGAAAGAAAAGCTAACCGGCATAGCCATGGGCAACCTCCACAAGCCCAGAAAGGAATGGTCAACCACTTCTGAGTTCTCTCACCATGATCTGCCCCACGTAATAATAATTATTATTGTCAAGTTACCAAACCCTGGTTCAAAGGATGCAACAGGATACACCAAAGAAGCCACAGGTCACGGGGATCAATAGCAGGACCCTGTTGCCTTTCTCAGTCTACAGAGGTTTGGAACTGCGAGCCAGTTTCAGCATTCTGAGAAACCCGGACTTCCCTTCCTAAAAATTATGTTTCTAACTTAAGGTAGTAAAGAGAGATTTGAGCTGATGTGGGCAATATCTAGTAATGTATTCGCGAAAGCTTTCACGGCCGGGATCTAATGGTTGTCGTGGGTTTTTCGGGCTCTTTGGATTATATTCAGAACACGGCCAAAGAGCCCGAAAAACCCACAACAACCAATATCTAGTCAACTCTTGCGAGCAAGGAAAGTGTGCGACAACCAAGGAGAACCTGCCATGGATGGACAGATGGAGAAGATGTTGAGTGCACACCCTCTGTGTGAACTGTCTCAGCCTATACTGTGTCGATGGCTGTCCCCGGCTTTGAATCTGAGCTTTGCTGCTCTCGGAACGCACTGACCAACTTCGCCAGTGATGCAAAAGAGGCCACGAAGGAGAGGAAGAAAAACACAAGACGCTGCACACAGGGTGCCTAAAGAGGCTTGCAGACCGTTGTCAACAAACCAACAACCCACGACCCATCTCACTCGCCCTGCAAAGGCAAATTAGCCACGGAGTGTTCTCTGGACAAGGAACCACAGCTAATCCCGGCTCCCGGGTGAAAAAGTAAATATAATGCATGTTTGTCAGCAAACATTGGCTCCGTCAGTGATGTGGGAGTTTTTGGAAAATTTGGAACTGGAAAAATTTTTTTAATGGCCAAAACTCGTTCGGGACCTGAATCCGGTTTGTACCTGATATAGTCTTTTAGTATACAGTATTCTTAAAACTGCAGAGGTGGAAGGGACCCTATGGATCATCCAGTCCAGCCCCTGTGAAGGAGGCTCCATGGGGGAATCGAACTCCCAACCTCTGGTCAGAGACCTGAACCACAGAGCTACCCAGTGGCCTGATCCAAGCATCTACGGCGCAGTACCTTCTGTGTCCCATCTTAGCATTACTACACATGACAGAAGGGGAGGTTTGAAAAACACAGATCACCGCTCTGTGATTATGTCATTATTCCTTCCAATAAAGTAACACGACATCGCTCAGGATATTTTACTTTTTTTGCACTGTAACTGTTGCTGATCGTGTCAATTGAAGGATTCTAGAAGTTACAGTACAAAAAACCAATTCCCCCCCCCCCCCAGCTCTGTTGTGGTTTTGAGTTTAAAGATTTCAGCACTGTACGACATCAACTGTATGTGGCTTATAACTATGTTGAAATGTTATCTGTCCACCTAGTTTTCTTCTCCCTAGAAGTTGGAAAAAGTTAACTGATTGGTAGTTTAAATCGGAGAGAGCAGGATTTACTACTCTACTCTACTCTGAAATTATTTGTACTGAAATATCTGGACAGATTTAAAGGCAAGATGAGCCACTGGCACACACTTCCTTCATATTCATTTAACTTTTAAGGATGGCAGTGAACATTAACTGCATACTTATTTCAGATGATTTCAGACAGGGGTTCCCAGCCCTGCCTGGTCGCCAGAGATTCTTGGGCTAAAACTCCCAAAAGCTTTCACCACTAACTGAATACATGAATACAGTACATGCATCTGTCCCATACAATGTTAAAGCTAAAAATGAAAGTGAAAGAGAAAATCCACACACACACACACCCCCCGCAAGAGCAGAAATGCTCCCTTTTTCCATCACTGATCCTGTTCGAGTTTTGAAGTTACAATCACTCACCCATTTGCTTCTAATATTCAGGTCACCGTCCAGAACTAATTTCCAAAGCACCAGCAGAGACAGGCAAGAACACCTACTTTAAAAAATCTTAACGATCAAGACTGACCAATGAGAATTCAAAACAGCCCATTCTCCTGCGATGGAAGAAAATAAAACAGGGGCGGGGGATGAGCATTTAGCTATCCAGACACGGCTTGACTACAAACCCCATCATCCCCTGTGATTGCTAGCTGGGGCTTCTGGAAGCTGGAGTGCCAACGGTTCCCTATGCTTGCAGTCAAGGGTGCTGACAGATATGAAACCTCAACTTCCCCAGCCTTCCCTAAATAACTCACTTGTGCAACAAGTTGCAGGAACAAAAGTTTAGCAACTTCTGCCAAAAGAAGTGTTAACTTGGGGCTTGTCGTGCTACAGCAATCCCAAATTTCAGCATCCTTGCACTAAACACTCTGCAACGGACGTTGGTCCAAACTGCTGAGATTGAACTTGCTTGCAACCCTGTCTATTAACCAGCCAGTATCTGATGACAGTCAGATAATGTTAAATACTCACAGAGGCAGGATTACCTTCCTTTTGGCTGGGAAAAAAAAGGTCTGATAGCTTTTGACAGCCACACCAAAGCCCAGGGCCCTCTTTGCTCACTCCTGCCTTCCCATGACGTACCCTCTGATCATTCGGCTGATCAGCAAAAATTAAGTGCCCACATCCTGCCCTCTTTTGCTTCTCTCCACTCCTTCTTCAGCTTTCCAGATGGAAAGAGAACTTAGATTTACTGGCAAAGACCAAGAGTTATTTAGAATGACAGATTACGTTGCTAGCCTAATCCCATTGGGAGAAGAGCGGACCCATTGGACCAGTGGGGTTTACATCTGCATGGACGTCACGTTCCAGAATTGATCCAGGGGGTTTATTTACTTGAGTGGTCCCAACAGAACGGGGGAGACCCATTTGAGGCGCTGCAACTAAGCCCCCGTTCTCTTACCAAGCGCTGGCTAGGCAGTTTTCACAAACTGGCCGAAAAGATCTACCCAGTGGAGGTTAAGTTTCAAAGGAAGCCCGAGGGATGGGAATTTCATGAAAGTGGGGGATCCCAGCTTTGCACGGATCCAGACTAAACAGCAATTTCCCGGGGGGAAGGAAACATGCACAGTTCCACATAACAAACCTCTTAGATCACATCACCAGGAATAAATATCCAATCTACCAACGACCATTTCTCCCCCCCCCCCCCACTTTTAGAGGTAGGAAGTAAGTCTCCAACCCAAGGCCTCGCCCTTCTTATCACTCAGCACAGACTCTTGAAGCAGGATCACCTTATTTAACCTCAACCCAACATTGTTCAATGGTTAAAAAAAAAACAGCCTCTCTAGAAAGCCCACTGGCCCTCTTTTGACCATGAAGGGCTCAAGGCATGGAGCGTGTCTGCCCGACTCCTTCTCTTCTTGGCTGGGCACATCCCCAAATTCCCAAAACCACCAGCTTCCCAGGGCAGGGAGAACCTGGATGCCGGCCGCCATGCGATGCTTCTCTCTCAACAGTTCTCGACACACCAAACCAACCTTGTTAGAAAAGACCGCCATGCTAGCAAAAGTTGAAAGCGGTGACGAAACAGGAAGAGTGAACATGAGGCGGTTCAACTCAACGGAGGAAGCTGTGGCTTGTTTTAAAAAGTTTGTACTACATAAGGAGAGCTGTTAATTGTAGGACTGTTTTTTTTGTGTGGGGCGGGGAGGGTCATAGATCCACAGGGCTGTTGAACCCAACTTGGCACCACATAACAACATCAAAGGAATGGGATCTGAGCAGCAGTGTCTCCCGGTAAGTAACCCACAAGTACCTGTCTGGTTATGGTGTAAGGCTACCCATCT